GGGGTGGATCTGTGCCGCCACGCCAAGCTGGCTCGCCAACAGCAAGTCCAGCAACAGAACCCACTCTATCAACCGCCAGTTCAACGAGGGAACGTGTGCTTACAACAACAGACGACGGGAGAGTATTTCTTTTAAATTCATCAGCCATTGCTAATAAAAAAAAGCGAATTGAAATACGAATAAATAAAAAGTCGAAGCTGAATAAAGACTGATTCTCAAATCCAAAAGCAAACATCGATTACCCATTAACCCACACGCCCCGGGTCACTGTCATTATTCAACTATGCTTCGTGGGTCCCGGCGGGCGCAATAGAAACAAAAGTTAAATAAGCAATAAAAATATTAGGAAAGCAGAATCAAAATCATCTTCAGCAGCCCGCCCCGTGGCCGAGTGGTTAAGTTCTCGCGCTACACTTCGGCAGCCCAGGGTTCTCCTGTTCAGATCCTGGGTGTGGGCATGGCACCGCTCATCAAGCCATGCTGTGGCAGCATCCCACATAGAAGAACTAGTATGACCTACAACTAGGACATACAACTATGTTCTAGGGCATTGGGGAGAAAAAAAAAAGAGGAAGGCTGGCAACAGATGTTAGCTCAGGGCCAATCTTCCTCACCAAAAAGCTTATCTTTGAAAAAAAATTATCTTCATGTAGTTTACCGGGTTGTATACCTTGAAAATCTAAGAGACTCTGCTCACGATGGAGTTTAGGAGGAAATGCATTGGAAAATAAGGAACTTTCCCGTGCTCCGGGTACAATGCCATTTGCAGCTGCCCCAAGTCACCCCTACACCCCCTGCACATTGCTGACAGTCCCCACCTTGTGAACCACACTTTTCTGGAATTCAGAAACTACATTCCACAACTTCCTGGCCCCTAGGGTGTCGCCACATGCCCTCGGCTCTGCCAGGGATATACAGGCAGATGCCGCCACTTGAGAGTGCTATGGAGGGCCAGTGGCAGTGCCCAGCGGCCAGCTCTGCCACCTGGAGCAGCTCCTCAGACCACCCAGCAGAGTCCTCTGTGTACCCCTCTGCCTCCAGCGACTCAGAGACTCTGGGCTGAGACACCCAGCATGTGAGCACAGCCCCAAACCTCAGGTGAACAAGGAAGGTAACTGTAATAATTCCCATATCGAGTTTTCTCTCCAGACCCACTCTGCCAGGGTGGCAGAGCCCACTGTCTCGGTCAATATAGGGCGCCACAGCTCCTGTCCCAGGGCTGTGTCCACTGGAGTCGGGCTGACACATCTGTCCATTCACGTATCTGCTCCAATGCCCCTCGGTCCATCCAATCCTCACCCATCAACCAATGCACGCAGGTGGCACCAAGATGGCCCTCACGCTGGTTTGCGTGCCTCGCCCCGCGCCTTGTTCCTGGGCCACAGCACAGAAACAACACCTGAAGCTGTCAGTGGCCCACCTGCCCAGACCCCGTCACCCATCATCTTTGACACCTTGCCCCTCAGCAGCCTCCCTCTGGGACCCACCCCACCCTCCAGTCCTTCCATCCCTCTCCCCTCTCAGTCCAGGGCATCTCTCCCTGGGTTAAGGAGCTCCCTTCCTCCCTCCCTCCTCCTCCTGCTCCTTGTCTGGAAGTGTGTTGAGGTGCTTCTCCGCAGACTCCATTCCTCTGTCTTGACGTTTGTCTCTGAAAGGCCCGGGACACAGGGTTGGGGCGTCTGGAAACACGGAAGCCACAATCTGTCAGCTGTCCACCTACGGACCCCTCAGTCCCTCTGCCGGTCATCCTGCTTAAATGGGGGCGGGGGGGGGTGCTTTCTAGAAGGCCGTGACTTCTGGAAAGAGCGTCACAAAGAAAAGGAAGAACCTTGGCTCACCACACCAAAAATGACCAATTCGATTTAAAGGCAAAGGAGAAATCCCGCTTACACCATATACTACACCGTACAACCATAAATTACCCAGCGGCAAGTCCTTCGAGGAAGACACAAGACCCGCACGAGGAAGACGGAAGACTGCACAGAGGGGCGTTATCAGGAGGCTAAATAAGGGGCCGGCTCCGCGGAGCTTCCAGGCAGGAAGACTCAGCACAGTGACCACACCATCCTTCCCCACCTCAGATCCAACTGCGTCAAATTCCCATCCAAGTTCTGAGTGTTATTCTAGAACTGGACAAACAGATTCTAAAACTCATCTGTAAGAATAGATTGTGAGAAGTAGCAACAAGCTTTGCACAAAACAGGAGGGAGGGGCACTCGCCTCACGCTTGTGGAGCCTGCAGAGTGCGTGGGAACGCATTCTGTTATCAAGGCAGCACGTCAAGCTAACAGGGAAAGACAGGATGTTTAATAAGTGGCATTGAGAAAACTGGCCATTTATTTGGAAGGAGGCCCTGCCTCCGGGCGCTCCAGGTGGACTGCACGTCTGAACGTAGCAGCCAAATCTGTAAAAGCACTAGAAGAAAATGCAGGGGCTGTTTCCATAAGGGAAGGGCAGAGGAAATTCTCCTAAGATCCGAAGCCCAGAAACCATTAAAAAACAATGAGAGACTCGACCGCACGGCACTCGAGAACAAGCACATGTGTACAGTGCAGACGCCACAAGCAAAGACACAGGCAAACGTCTGCAGAACACACACCACGGAAAAGACCGTGTTCTTCACACACAGAAGTCTTGCGAATCAGCAAGACAAGACCAAGGCCTCGTGGAAGGGGGAGTGAAGGGTGTGATGGGACAGTTACAGAGGACAAGCAATGGCCAACGGAAACGGGAGATGCTCAACCTCACGAATCTTTTTTTAAATGGAAATCAGAATAGATCCTGTTTTTGTCTACCAAACAGGCAAAAATTCCCGAAGTTGGATGACATCCACTGCTCGTGAGGGTGGAAGGGACGTGGGAACGCAACTTGACCCAACCTTTTTTGAGGAATCTGTTTCGGTGTTAAGTAGATCCCTTCCCTGGCTCAGCTGCCCACCTCTCAGAGTCGATCCGACATAAAGAATCACGTAAGCCCATCGGGACAGGAGGCCGAGGACGGTGAGGGCAGAGTGCTGATGAAAACACTGAGAGCGACTCCCCACCCACAGGTAAGGGCGGGTCATTAAACCCCAGCTCATCCCTTCAAGGGACACTCGGCTGACACTGAAACCAGAGGGCCGTCTAGACTCGCTGACCAGGAGAGATGTCCCTGGTGGATTGTTCAGAAAAGAACCAAGTGGTACATTGGTTTATCTGCACCATCTATGTGCCCCGTGGAGCAGGCACGTCACAGACTGCGGGGTTCAACCCTTCGATGACAATTATTAAGGTGGGGGTTACACTCAGACGCTCATGGGGGGGGGGGGGGGGGGCGGGGGGCACAGATCTCAACCCGGCAGCTGGGAAGTGGGGGCTGAGATATCGGGCATCCGGGCCATGCTGCCCTCCCCGAGAGCCCCATTCACTTCTAACCGTAAATCACTCTCTGAAGAGCTGGGAGAATTTCACTCACTTTTGTGTTTTCAACACTTCCCCCAAACAATAAATCCAGCACGCAAAGACTGACACGAGTTGGTTTGAACCCCATCCCGTGGGGCGGCGAGTGCATGTCCTCCCAGCTCCTCCATGGCTTCCATCACTCCAGAGCCTCGCGGGCGCCAGCCTCCCAGCCTCCCAGCCTCCGGCCTCCTCCGAATCCTCAAGCTTCTCTTCACACTCCCCATGAGCGAGCAGCAGTTTTACAGGTCACCTGCCAGCAGCCCCTGGTCCCTATGCTCCCGAGAGCAGCACACAGGCGGTGGGTAGCACACTTTACTGAGGTTTGGTGCGAAGGGGGGAGCTGGCGTACACTGCAGAGCAGCAGAGCAAACTCACAATGGAGCGTGAGACGACCCTTGGACAAGTCCCTCGGCCATTTCCACCAGCAGGAAGTTGACACCTATCTCCAGCGACCCCACTCTCCTCCCTGGTTCACTCCCCCTGGATCCCCACATCCCTCCCCCTCACTCATGCAGAGGAGCCCCAGGAGGAATGCCAAGGCCAGCTCTCAGTGAAACCACTGTTCTTTCCAAGGAGCCCAGGACCCACAAGTGACCAGAGCCTGAGGCAGCCAGAGAGAGAGAAGGAAGATCTGGCCAAAGACCAGACCCCATGAGAAGCCTAGAGCAGCCACCAAGTGTCACACAGCAAGCCTGGGCCGCAGGACAAGCCACACGGCCAGCGGGTGTGGGAGGTTGCGCTGGACTCAGGGTGCAGGGACGAAATCATAAGCCCGCCCTGGAGCAGGAAGGACCCGGAAAAGCAGCACGCTAGGATTCACCTATTCGGGCCTGGTCTGCCTCCTCCCACCTGAGCGTCCCCCACAGGGCGTGGGCTTCCTCAGCCCCTGGTCAGGGGGCTGGCCTTCAGGACCCTGCCCACAGTGGCACCCAGCTCAGGGTGGGGGCAGGGGATGTCTGGTTAAGAAGCAGAGTCTGGGAAGCAAGGGTTTCGCCAGAGCCTGGAGCAGCCCCGACAGCTCTCAGGGGAGCTGGCCCCCAAGGATGACCGCCCTCGAGGCTGAGAGACAGCAAGTGAGAGCAAGAGCGAGAGGAGACCCACACACGGGGCATGCGCAGGGCCCTGAGAGCTCGAGAGCAGTGCGCACACAAACATGGAGATGTGTGGGTGTGCCCACAGTGGGGCACACCATCCATGAGCTGGTGTGATGTAACTGTTTCAGAGTGTGAACGTGTAAAGACGACAGCGTGGAGGTGGAGTGTACCACTCTGCAGGCATGGCTGCGTGTGCGCTAGTGTCAGCCTGTGTGCGTGTCCGGCGTCCACAGGGCACGCGCACATGGCTGTAAGGACTCGCCCTCAGGCCCACCCTGTGATCTTGTTCCTCTCACTCTAACCGCCCCTCGGCTGCTCCCAAACCTTACCGAACCCTGGGTCCCCCAGGCAGCCCAGCTCACCCCACGGCCCCCAAGAGTGCCAGTGCCTGCCTGTTCTCAGCACCTCACTCCCTGCTTTCTGCCAGGAACCCCCCCGCCCCCCAACACCCAGACTCAGACCCAGGTCTCCGAACTCAAAAGTGACTTTATTTCTCCATAGAAGATGCCCTCACAGCCAGGCTGCTGGACTGGGCCTGGCTCAGCCTGGCTTCCCCTCAGACAGCTGGGGGTCCCAGCCCCCTGCCCTCACCCCCCACGCCTCCTGCCCGATGCCTGGTTTCCCAGAGATGTCCTGCTGGCTGGGACTCGACGCTGGTAGAGAGACAGGGAGGTCTCACATCTCGGGGAGGGGCGAGGGCCACAGACCATGGAGCCAGGCCAAGGCTGCCCCAACCCCAGCCAGGCCAGGCTGGGGAGAGGGCAACCACCGGCTCCGCGGAATAAGCTCAAAAGCCCTGTGGGAGGGAGGGGACCTCAGGGCCCAGCCCAGAGGAGGGCAGGCCCTAGGCCGAGCAGGAGCCCCCAGGCCAGGGCCCAGGGGCTGCCCCCCACCCCGGACACCCCGTTGCACAAATCCTTCTCGCAGCAGTCCACCTCTACTTTTAAGATCCCAGAGTTAATGAAGCCCATCAGATAGTCTGAGAAAAAGTGCCGCTTAACGAAGTCACAGGATGAGGCACACATCTTGTTCACGGAATGATCTTTCCTTCCTGGGAAAAAGAGGGGAGTTGGGCATTAGACCCCACCGGGGCCCTCTGCCTCATGCCCAGGACCCAGCCAGGACCAGGGAGAGACAGGCACCTACTCTCGTGCCCAGTCAGAGAAGCTCAGATGGCACCCCTGCCCTCTCCCCACTCGGGCCCAGTCCTGACTTACTGCTGCTGGGGTCGGTGATGCGGACACTGGCGCACACTGTGTCCGACGGCGGGCACTGCTTCGGGGTGCAATGGCTGGAGTTGGTGGTCAGCGTGCAGTCCTGGCACCACAGGCCCTGCGCTGTGTGGGGCACGAGGAGGAGCATGATCACACCAACCAGGGGGGCAGGCCGGCCAGCCCCCTGCATCCTCCCCGCTGCCTGCTATAGGCATTCCTAGGAGAACCACACGGCTGCAGGAGGCCAGGCACCCCCTGGCCAGGAGTGACCAGGCCAGACGGGCACCTGGAGGACAGGCCTGGGAGGATCTGTGAGCCTTCTGGGCAGTTCCAGGGGAGGGTCCCACCAGCGGGACTCTGGAAACCCCCATGCCCCCTGCCTGGCCCCATAAACATGCACACACACACCCCCAGGCACACATATCTCACACCCATGGTGCCCTCCTACACTCTCTACTACCCCCTAAGCACACATGCCTCAAGGTTAGGTTGGCTGCAAGCTACAAAAACCAAACCACACTGGATGGGAGATCAGGTGGGGCTCTGAGAAGAGATGGAGCACAAGAAGCCCTGCACTGAGGACAGACATCCCCGAAGGACGGACGAGCTGCTGGGGGAAGGCCCGGCCGGAAGAGCACTCGGCGCCCTCAGGGGCCGGGAGGGACCCGCGTGGCTGCAGCTGGAGCAGCGTGAGCCAGGGCGACAGGGGCAAGGGCCGGGCCGGGGTCGCAGGGGTCCGGGAGGCGGTGTGGGTTTCACGGCTACCGTCGGAGTTGGTGGCCCCCCAGCCTGTCTCTCTCCAGAGCCGCCTCGGGCTCTCCAGGCGACCCGGCCCACCCCGCGGGCCGCCCCCAGACTCACCGGGCGCAGAGCACAGCAGGGCGGCCAGCAGTACCAGGCTGAGGCCCTTCATGGCTGCAGGCAGCATGCTCCAGGCGGGCCTCAGGACAGCGCAGGGGCTGTGGGTGGGGGTCTTCTGGGGCGCAGGCCTGGCAGAGAGAAGCTTCGCTCAGGCGACCCAGGCCGCTGTCAAGCCCGAAGGACCCTCCCCTTCTCTGGCCTGCGGATGCAACCTCCTCCGGGGAATCCAAGGCCGGGGGTCGTCTGGGAGCTCGGAAAGCCCCACCCCCAGCCCATCCCCCAGAGCGTCCACCATCACAGCATCGCCTCCAAAGAGAAGAGGTCTGCCCTCTCCGGCTGGGTGACAGCCCGAAACGCCCCCACCGCGCTCGTCACCTGTCGGATGGGGGGCTCGGGGGCGAGACTTCTCCACCCTGGGGATCGGTGGGTGTGTCCGGAGAGGAAAGGGTAGGACAAGGTGCGACCGAACAGTACCTGCCGAGGGGGAGGGGCGCGCGCCACGTCCCCACCCCCACCCCTGGGCTGGGGGGCCGGGAACCCCGCGCCGAGCCCCCGCCCCTCGCCTCCCGCTCCGCGTGCCTCGGCGCTCACCGCGGATGGAGGCGGGGAGCGCGGGCCTCGGGTCGGGGGCGCACTCACATCCCTGGGGTGTCGGCACTCCGGGGCGCGGGCGGCGGTGCCCTTCGGTCTCCCTGCGGACCGGAACCCGGGCGCAGCCTCGTCTTTCGGGGGACGCAGCCGCAGACGCGGACCCCGCGCGAGGGGCGGGGCGGAGCCGGGCGGGGGCTGCGCGGGGGCGGGGGAGGCGGAGACGCGCGGGTGGGGGTCGGGGGTCGGGGCTCGGGGCCTACGGCAGGTCGCGGTCCCGGGCCGTCCTGCGCCCCCTCGCCAGCAGGTGCCCCGCTCGCCCCCGCGCCAGCCCTCTCCGGTTCCCGCTCCCTCCGCCGCTCCCCCTGCGCCCTTCCCCCCTCCCACCTTCCCCTACCCAGGCGAGAGCAGGATCCCTTCCCCCTCCGCTTGGCTGAGATCCCCTTGGAATTTCTCGGAAGAACGTTTACTGCGAAAGGAAGCGAAGTGCACAAAGACGCAGAGAGGGAGGGAGGTAACTAATGAGCGCGGAGCTTGCGCGGGTCCCGGGTCACAGACGCTCAGCCCTGGGGCCCCTCCGCTTCCCATCCCGGGTTCCGACTGTTCCAGGCTGTTCTCCTCCCGCGAGCACCCAAGACGCGCCCCCAGCAGCCGCAACCCCCTAGGACCGCTGTCTCCAAGCACACCCACCCCCAGAGGGCAAGTCCCAAGTACTGGTCCCAGCATTCAAGGCCCTCTGCACCCGCCTCGGCCGGTTTCGCAGCTTTAGGTGTCGCTTCCCGCTCCAGAAAGCGTCTGAGGTGCAGTGCCTTTGCGCCTGCCGTCCCCTGTGCCTGGAGTCCGGCTCTGCAGGGCACTGGATAAGCCACAGCTGCCGTGCAAGTGTTGGAGGTCGCTCCTTTTCGTCCTGCCTTCATTTGTCCAACACATTTCTACAGGGTACTCTCTGTTGGCTAGCGCTGCCCTAGGCCCTGGGCAACACTGTGAGAAAGTAGAAGAGGGTTTCTGCCTCCCTGAGTCTTACGTTAGAGAAATGACTGTCACTAATATGTCACTGCAAGGTGTGCTCATCATAGTTAGCATTGATTACGCGCATACTATGTGTTCTGTTTTAAACACTTGATATTTATTATCATCCCCATATTATGTTAAGGAAAACATGGCTCAGAGAGGTTGAGCTTCCCACCCAAGGTCACACAGTGACCAGGTGACAGCCGATGCTGGGACATAAGCAGCCTGACTCCAGAGGATGGACACCTCACTGCTCCACTGCCACTCCACAGAGTGAAGGCAAAGGAACAGACAAGCAACCTGAACTTGGGGACTGGGGTTCCCGCAGATTCAATGGAATTCAGATATGAGTTCACAGTCAAAAATCAGCCAACATCCAGAGAAAATAAGCCCTCACAGTAAGACACAGCAGAAACAATGACAAGTAACAGATTTAAACCCCCACAAACTTTCCAAATGGAGCGTATCAGGTATAGAATATAAAATTAATGTCTTGTCAGTTTAAGACATATTAAAGGAAGGAAGGAGACACTGTCAACACTGACCATGCTTTACTGAAAAGAACAGAACCTTTAGAAGGAAGAACTTTTTATTGAAATTATAATGTCAGGAGAAACCTTGAAAGAATTATGCTCAGTGAAAGAAGCCAGTCATAAAATAACCTATATTGTATGGTTTCGTTTCTCTGAAGATGTCCAGAATAGAAAAATCCAAGAGAAACAAAATAGATGAGTGGTTGCCTTGAGCTGGGGGAGGGGAGGAGTAGACAGTGACTACTCATGGTCAAGGGGTGGCTCTCCCAGTGGTGAAAGTGTTCTAAAAATAGATAGTGCTGATGATTGCACAACTCTGTGAATATACTAAAACCCACTGAATTGTAGGCTTTAAAAGGCTGAATTTTATGGTGTGTGAATTATACTTCAATAAAGCTGTTTTTTAAAAAACAACAAAAACCATTTCACAAACGTGTTAGGGAGCAAATTAGACAAAGTGGAAGAGGGAATTTGTGAACTGGAAGATAAATCTAAAGAAATTATGAGGAATGTGGCACCAGGGATAAAGAGATGGAACATAGCAAAGAGAAATTAAGACACACAAAAGATGGTGTGCCAAGAGCTAATATAAGTCTGGTTGAAGTCAGAAAGGAAAAAGAGTCAATATTTGAAAAGATTATGCCTGGGAATATTCCAGAACTGGTGAGAGAGAAGTATTTACTGAAAACTATAATGAAAACTGAATAGAATAAATAAAAATAAAATTCACACCTATGTACAACATAGTGAAACTGCAGACCACCAAAGATGAAAGAAGAGCTTTAAAATAGCCAAAAAGAAACGGGATCGACTCTGAAGAAACAGCAGCTAGGCTGACAGCAGAATTTCAACAGCGGCAGAGGAGGCCAAATGACAGTGAAATAGCATCTTTAAAGTGCTCAGAGGGAAATAACTGCCTACTAAGAATTTTATACACTGTTTTCCAAAAATAAATACAAAATACATTCTTCAGATAAAAGTTTAGACAAATAAATGTTTTCAGATCAATGATAAATCAGAGAAGTTGAGAGTTCGCCACTAACAACCTTTCATTAAAGGAACTCCTAAAGAATGCACTTCAAGAGGAAGTGTTCCAGAGGACAGGCAGGAACGCAAGAAGGAATTGTGAGTGAAGAACTTGGCTTTCAAGAAGGGAAATCTAGAGCCAGCCCTGATGGCCTAGCAGCTAAAGGTGGCACTCATGGCTTCAGCAGCCTGGGCCTGGCTCCCGGACACAGAACCACACCACTGATCTGTCAGTAGTCACGCTGTGGTGGTGGCTCACGTAGGAGAACTAGAAGCACTTACAAGTAGAATATACAGCTGTGTCCTGGGGCTTGGGGGAGGGAAAAAAACAAAAAACAGTCTTAAAAAGAAAAAGAAGGGAAATCTAAATTGTTTGTCATATAAGCTAGTGAGAAGGTCTCCTGTGTGAGGTTTTAACAGACTGAACAGGACCCAGGACAGCAACAGCCCGTGGCCCGGGAGGGGTGGTGGAGTCGAAGGGTCCGGGGACCCTCGTTGTTGAGGAGGCAGCTCTGGTCGTCTGCACAGAGACTGTGTGCAGATGCTGAGGAGGCAGAGGGGGTTTCGAGGGTAACCAGCAGAAGGGCCAGGGGGAGCATTTCACAGGGGAGGGTCAACCTGTGCCACGTTAGAGTTGGAAAGGAGGTCAGCGTGCCTGGCACACGGCGGTCCAGGGAGATTAGAGGGAGATGAGGTTAGAAAAGTGGGCCAATATCAGACCCCAGGTGGCTTTGAAATCCCAGTACAGACCCCAGACTGTGTCCTAAGCACCTCAGTGTACTGGTTGGGAAGTCTTCACACTGCAAGTGACAAAATACTTATCCAATGCGATGGCTAATCTTATCTGTCAACTTGGCTGGGCCGTGGTGCCCAGATATTCAGTCAAACATTATTCTAGATGTTTCTGTGAAGATGTCTTTGGATGAGGTTAACATTTGTATCAGTGGACTCTGAGTGAAGCAGGTTGCCCCCCATGCTGTGGGTGGACCTCGTCCAGTCAGTTGAAGGCCTGAATAGCACAAAAGACTGACCTTTCCCGAGTAAGAGGGAATTCTGCCAGCAGCCTTTGAACTTAAACTGAAACATCGACTCTTCCTGACTCTCCTGCCTCCTGGCCCACCCTGCAGATTTTGGACTTGCCAGCCTCCGTAATCACATGAACCAGTTCTTGAAAGAAACCTCTCTATATATTCGCATCCCGTTGGTTCTGCTTCCATGGAGAACTGTGACCGATGCAGGAGTGGCTTCCCCCCAAGGTGAGGGAGAGCTGGTGGGACTCGTAGGTCCTGACATCGAGGCTCTGGTCCCTTTTGGTTGGCTCTCTTGGCCCTCCTCTCATCATCAAAGGAAGATGGACGAAGGAAAGAGAGCCTGGGAACGGCTTCGAGGTCAGCGGTTGGCAAGGTCTGCAGAAATGGGAATGAAAAGGGTTGAGGTGAGGGGCAGACACCACTGCCTTACGTTTCAGACGATCCCTGTGGCCGCTGAGTGGAGACTCGACCGAAAGCTTCCAGAATGGAGCTCAGAGGTCAGTGAGGAGGACAGTGGCTGAGATCAGGGGATGGCGGTAGAAGCGGAGTAGGTGACCGGGCTCGCAAGACTTGGCGATGTCTGTCCAGGACACCTGCCTCCCAGGCCCTGCTCAGGAAGCCGATGGGTCCAGGCCTGGAGGACAGAGAGAGCAGCTCCCCCGCGGGTGCTAAAGCACCTTCCTGAGTCTGAGACAGCCGGGAGGCCCCACCCAGGGACCTCAGGTACACATGGGCTCGGAGGAGGGTCTGGGCGGGAGACATCAACACAGCGTGGTCAGCACGAAGGGAACAGATGCCATCTCGGGGGAGAGAGTGGAGAGACAGGTGAGGGGTCCCCAGGCCCCACCCGGGCAGCCGTGGGGCCCAGCCCCAAGCACTCGGCCCTTCTTGCTAAGATGCAAACCAGGGCCTGACACCAGCGCCCGCCCTTCCTCAGGCTGATGAGAGCTCACGCCTGTTGTTCCGCCTGGACCCCAGTGACCATGAGTCCGGGGGCTGGCTGGCTGGCTGGCTATCTATCGTCCACTCAGGTCAGCCAGGCCCACCTTGGCTAGAGTCCCAGCAAGGGTTCTCCCAGGGGCCCATTCTCTTCTCTAGTCCCACTGTTCCTGCTGCCACCCCACCCCCAGGCTACGCCAACCGCTTCCACATCTCCCAGGGTAGCCCCCCAACCAGACCTCACCCACAAGGCCCTCAGCAAAGCCCCAATGTCCCGGCTTCCAGGTCCCGCCCCTCCCTTCCCCACCCCACCTGCCCCTCTACTTTACTTCTCCCTCAGCTTCTGCTCACAGCCCACCTGCCCCTCGGAGACACCCCCACCCCGGCCCTGCCCAGGTCTGCATGTGTGTATCCCCGAGCGGATCCGTGGGACAGCCAACTCCTTCCAGGCCGCCACCCTGTGGCATTTCTGCCTCCAGCGTCTGCCTCCTGTACCGTTCCCACATGCCACCTTCCTCCCCACCCTCCCCGTGTCGAGGGTGGAGGCCATCAGAGACAGATTCCCGCAGAGACGCCGCACTGGGTCCCCCCTGTGTCCCCGCACCACCTGCTCTCACACCCACCGCCTCCCCATCGACCCCCGAATCCTTCTGCCCCGCCCTTGCCTTCATGCTGTGAACTGTCGCAGGCACCCCCACCTCCCCCGACTGGCCCTCCGGGGGCCCTGGACACGCAGCGCGAGTGGGGTCTCGAGTCCTCCCAGCCCCTCCCCGAGCGCACCGTGCCTCCTGGAGCCCTTCGCGCAGACCACGCCCCGCCGCCCCGCAACCAGCACGCAGCCTCTGCCAGGCCCGCGCCTCGCGCCAGGGTCCACGCCGCCACACCTGTATCTGCCCTTGCCCACGGCCGTGTCTCAGCATGCGCGGCTCCTTAAAGACGCATGAACTTTCTGGAAGCCCAAGTCTGCTCCAGAGCACCCTCCCCGCAGTGTAAGAAGTTCGTGAAAGTACCGACGCTGAGGAAATGGCCACCAGGAGCTCAAGCTGCACAAAGCCTGCCTCTGGGCCTGAGACCCACCTGCAGCCCCAGGCCTGGGCCGGGACA